GAGCTGGACAAAAACTAGGGGTGATGGATGCTTATGCAGAAGCATCCAGCATTATTAGGCAGTTTGGCTCAATGTATCTACGGCTAGGTAACCTTCAAATGGCTCTAGAATATTATGCACAAGCTGCTGCTGCGGTAGGTGGTGGACATGCATCATGGACTGGGAGAGGTAGTGTGGATCAGCAAAGGCAAAGGAGCTTGATGCTGAATCAGCTTCTTACTGAGCTATTGTTACGAGATGGTGGGATTTATCTTTTACTTGGTTCAAGAGGTTCTGGAGAGGAAGGTGAATTGGGACGATTTTTGACTGATCAAAAAGCAAGACAACAGTTTTTGCTTGAAGCTGCCCGCCAGTGTCAAGAAGCTGGGCTCTATGACAAAGTAATTCTCTTTCTCTCTCTTTGCTTCTTCAATATTTATGTTTTTGGTAAAGTGCAACTTTTGTTTTAATTTAAGCAGAAATTTTGGTAAATATTGACAATTCCAAACAGTCATTATCCTTGATACTTGCAGTTGTCATGCAGATCCCTCTCTCATATTGTTGACCCCATTTATCTCTCTCTTGGGTTTTACTAGTTGCCTTTTTACCCTCAAAATATTATCTTTACGTCTGATTGCCCCTGCTTGTATCCTCATGTGGTGTTGCTTAATGTTATATCTTTGTGGTTTTTGCATTTTACCTTATGTTATTTTTTCCTTTTCTTTTTCTTTCTTTCTATAATTTTTTCCAAATCCAGTCTATAGAAATTCAGAAGAGAATTGGGGCATTTTCAATGGCATTGGATACAATAAATAAGTGCCTCTCAGAAGCAATTTGTGTCCTATCACGTGGTAGATTAGATGGTGAGAGTCGAACTGCTGGCCTCATTCATTCTGGCAATGAGATGTTGGAGACTTTCAAATATTATCCTGAAGTCAGGTTGTTCCAATTCCATGCAATCACTTATTCTTTATCAAAATTTGGTTGTTCCAAATATTAGCAAATGCTTATTTGATATAACAATTTTGCTGGTATTTTACTTTTAGTGGTGTCCTATTTCTTTATCAAAATTTGGTTGTTCCAAATATTAGCATATACTTATTTGATATCGCAGTTTCGCTGGTATTTTACTTTTAGTTGTGTCCTATTTTGCGATAAAGGCTTCTAGAAACCGTTTAACTTCCTTTCTTTCTTGCCTGAGATAAGGTTTGCTAAGATTGAGACTAGTTGGCCCCACAGAAGGAGATAAATCTCCAATGTTGAGAGTCTTGAACTTTCCTTATGTTAATTACCAACCATGTGTCCCTTATTTCTATTTGGTAACATTTTCATCATTAATGATTTGCTCATTTGATGGTAAATTTGGAAAATATATAGTATCAAAATTTTGGGGAATTGGCAGTGCTTCAATAGTTAGTGATTTATCTATTCATTGTGAACTTGGCTAATTAATATCTGATCATGTTTGGGATGCTTTCGTTTTAAAAAAAACAAATTTAAAATTACCAGTGCACATTTCCCTGCCTTTTCCTGTAAGTTGTCATACATCCTGCACATTCTTTGTGTGGTTCAGATATTTGATCGAACTTTTCAGTTGTTTTCATGATCCCATCACCTATGTCTTGTGTTTATACTGTTCTACCTTTCTGCTTTCTCCTGACATTATTGCAACTTGTATTAATTGTGCAGCCTCCAAGAGAGGGAACATGTTTTGGAGCAACAAACTGTATTGAGACAGCTTGAGGCGGTACTGTCTATCCACAAGTTGATAAGACTAGGCCGGTATCTTGACGCTCTAAAAGAAGTTGCCAAACTTCCATTCCTTCCATTGGATCCACGAGCACCTGATATTACCCCCGATGTGTTTCAGAATTTATCTCCTCATGTCCAGGCTTGTGTGCCAGACCTTCTAAAGATTGCTCTAACTTGTTTGGAAAATGTGACTGATACAGATGGATCACTTCGTGCTATGAGAGCAAAGGTATGCCGGCATCTTACATAGTAATCTTAAATGTTTCCATTACTGCTCGAACTCCATGAATTTGGATTGATTATTCTTGTTGGAAGGATTGGTTAATGTATGATTGGAAAAAAGGGGAAGGGTTGAGGGAAAGAAAAACCAGTCTAGCATCCTTGTAGTTAATGGTGGGTGTATAATCTGTGTATCTTGGCCTTTGCAGGTTGCAACTTTCCTTGCAAATAATATGCATCAGAATTGGCCCCGTGATTTATATGAAAAGGTTGCCAGAAGCTTGTGAAACAAATCCTCTGCTGGATTAATATGCCGATTTAGCTGGTAGAAGGAAGAAAGGTTGGTTCTATAATTGGTGAGATATTACCAGTGTGGTTTGATGTAATGAATTTTCCATTGTGATGAGCTCATTGTACGGTCCATTGTTTTTTGAAAGTGTAGTTGGCCCATTTAAAGCGTGTTTATGGTGCCCATTTCTGTTCTAAATCCTGGACACGGATGTAAAATTGAGTTAGAAAGCTGAAGTTCACTGGTATTCGGCCCGCCCTCAAATCTAACCTTCAATTGTGGCTGTTCGATTTCTCGAGGAAAGAGCAGTAACAGAAATTTTTTTGGAATCGTTAGATATATATATATATATATATATTAATTTAGTTAAAATATTAAAAACTTTCTTAAATTATTTTATTTTTTAAATAAATTTTTATATTTTTAATGTATTTAAATAAATTTTTATTTTTTGATTTGTATGCAAAATAAGGTCTTATTTCAGAAGAAAAATTGATTTATGTTAATAATTTATTTAGGTACAAATTAAAAATTAAAAATTTATTTGGATATCAATTAAAAATTAATGATTTATTTGAGTGTAACTTAAAAGTTAAAGCTTTATCTTGCTGTAATAAAAAGTATAGAAGTTTGTTTAAATAAAATGGAAAAAATTAAGATTTTTTAATAATTTAATTTTTATGTTTGCAGTTTATTTGTATTTTTATACTAAAATTGATTCTATATTTTTTTTTCAAATAATCATAATAAAAAGAACTTGCTAGATGCAACTTGCAAAGCTTAATAGGACAACGAAGCTGTTTTGCAAATGCAAAATTTGAGTAAGGATGAATTGGTTTTCATATTTAAAGGTAAGCTTATGACATAGAAGTATGAAATTACAATTTTGTTATAAAACATTTTTATCTCTAATATTAAATGCCGAATATATCTAAATGTTGAAGTGTATCTAAATTTTTTAGATATATGGCATGTTATATACAATTTTGTAAACTAATTTAGATAGTTATTCAAAAATTTTAAGTCATAAAAATTTATAATTATATTATTAACGTCACATTAGAGTATTTGATTGATAAAGGTTTTGTTATTGAATTAAATTTTTTATCCATTTGATACGCAATAAGAGAAGGGATGTCAAAAAAAAAAAAAAAAAAAAAGAAATGAGATGGGATGGTGGGACTGAATTAATTTAATACTAGTATGAGACCTCGCATTTCGTTGCGGTCTCAAGAATTTTTAATTTGTGAGATAATTAAAGGGTGTAATTTTTTTTTTTGTTAATTGATAATAGCAAATATAATATAAAAATAAAAGGAAAAATATTATTCCAAAAAAATAGAGAAAAAAAATAAAAGCTGCAACAGAGAATTAAAAAAAATTAAAAATAGGTTATACAAATGTAACAAATAAATTAGGTGATCATATTTCTTAAATTTATTTTAATTATTTATTCTAATTGTACTCTTAAAAAAATGACATTAAATTATATAAAAATACTTCTTCCATCTCAAAATATTTATTATGTTTTGATTTTTATGGAGTTTAAAAAAATTTTAACTTTAAAGTATTTAATATTAAATTTTAGTTCTATGATTTTTAATATCAAAAAGTAAAAAAAAATTAAATATAAAAAAGTAAAAATTTTAGATATTCAAAAAATAAAATAAAATAAAATAGAATTTTGGGACATCTAAAAAAAATAAACAAAGAATATGGGACAGAGAGAGTATAAGAAATTTTGCATCAAAATATTTTTAAAAAATAAAATAACTACTAGATGTAAATTAATTACAAAATCCACTATTGGATTGCCACCCGTGAAAAAAAAAGAGTAATTATCAACCATCATATCGTGTCTTTAATTTTTAGTGTAAGTTCAAAAATATGGTTTAATACCAAAAAAATTTTATTTAGGAGAACATATGTCAAGAATCATTCTTTTAATAAAAATGTATAAATATATATTTTATTTTATATAAAAGTAATCTTTCAAGTTTCAATTGAAACTTTGGAAACTTATTTTTATTTGATCTTTTCTTTCATTGTTCTTTTAATTAATAAAAAAATAAATTTAAACCAATTGAAATTATCTGAGTAAAAATAAATAACTCTCATGAGATTGTTTTAATACATGGCATTAGGTTAAAAAGTAAATAAAAAAAGTTTAAAACATTTTTTTTCTTACATTTAAGTCAGTCATCATTAAAAAAAAAAAAATTAATAATTATTATTTAGTTATGTGGCATCGAGAATCATGCACTCACCTATGGATCCATATATTTTCTGATCCAAATTCATTCCCTTGTATTCTAAAAAACAACGAAGCCCATTACAGATTAAATTCAACGGGGTTGGGCAGAGGTCAATGTTTTTAATTTTTAATCCCTTGTCATTAACTTAAAAAGAAAGGTTAATATGATAATTTCACTATAGAGTACAACCGTCAATTTTTAAGGTTTTTGGGATATTTTTTATCTATAGTTTATAAATTTTATAAAAATGATTTTCATTTTTTTTTCATTATTTTTTAAGATTTCTATTTTATATAGTTTATTTTTACATTTTCTTAATTTTTTTGATTATTTTATTTTGAACTTTTTAATTATATTTTTTACTTTTTGGGCTTGAACCAATCAAATAAGAAAAGAAATCAGGATCGGAACTAATTGTATGGCCCAATTATTTATTTCCCTTCTCTTCTTTTCTTTTTTCTTTTTCCTTTTTTTTTTTTTTTTTTTTTCATCTTCCATGGCACCGTTTGCATCAAATAGAAAAACCTAAAAAAATTTTGTCCAAACGGGGAGCAGCCCTTTGCCCCTTGCTTTCTCTCGTCCTCTATATAAGCCGACCTCCGCTGCTCCTCTCTTTTCTCAGGCTTTGATCTAAACTGAAAAATTACAGCTTTGAATCCCACTGTTGCAAGATTCTACCCTTTGACTGTAAACTCTATATTTCTCTCTCTATGAAAATGAAGTGACCTTTCATAGTTTTTGTTTATCCGGTTCTCCAACTAATCGGGAAACTTTCACCAAAGACCAAACGATTGAATCCCAAACTCTTTCTGGCGGAACCCTCTGCATTTTTGCGAAATTTTGAAACTTATTGTATTGTTTCAAAGCGGCGAAACCTCGAGATACTTTTCACTTGTCTTCCGCGAGTCTGAGACCTTACTTCTTCGACTACTCGACTTTTGCAAGTCCTTATCTCGAAAAAATTTCCTAAAAGTCTCAGTTTACTTTTAAAAAAAAAATCCACCAATAACCCTTTGAATTTTGGAGCTTAAGGATTGAAGCAGTTTGGAGTTGTTTTTGTTTTCTTTTTCCCTCTTGGTTCGGAATCTGGGTTTCTTTTCGTTTCTACTTTTCCGTAAGTTATCAGCTTCTTTGATCCTTCTTATTTCTGAAGTCAATTTATTTAATGTATTTCAATTTGTTGATTTGTGTAATAAGGCTTTGATTTTCTTCTTGGGTTTTAGCTCTTTGTTCCTCATTTATTTTAACTGCTACTTACAGCGTTGGCTAGCTCATTAAAATTTTCTGGTTTTCATTGTAATATTAAGTATTGATTATGATGATGGTGATTGATTGATTGTTTGAATTTTTATGCTTCATGTTAGGGTTAGATTTGCTTTTGGTTTTAAAACTACAATTTCTGGTTTCGTCCTTGCCAGTTGATAAACTTACGTACTAACAGTGCATGAAATATTGACCAAAAAGCTAAAAATTTTAAAGCGCATAGAATGAAAGATAGAATTAAAGGGCTGCTTGAACCTCACCTACATAAATGGGTAACCGGCGACTTAGGCATTTGAATGCAATTTAAAAGTGTCATTGTTGTTGTTTTTTTAAAGGTTAATAAATGTAAAGAATAGTTAATTTCTAGCCAATCCCATTTATGTTCAGGCCATAGCCACTAATTCACCACCCCAAGACACGACTTCCTATGGCCCAATCTCTCTCTATCTTGGCTTTTATCTTCTTTCTCTACATTGCTGGTGGTGATTCATAAAGGATCTTCTCTCTCCTTCTAGACACTTCTCTCCAGCTTTATCGTTCACCAAAAGTCCGCAACTATACTAATCCAGTTCCAATATCTAATTGCTGTATTGTTATTGCTTGTTTTTATTCTTTTATTTATAGAACGTTTTAAGCCTCTTTTTTATATATTTTTTGCAGCAAGTTCTGTAATTATAATGGATACTGAGGATTGGGAAAGTTGTTCAGACAACGAGGTCTATCTTCAAGACAGAAATGAGGATGATGATGATGAAGAGAATTGCTACTCATCTGGTTTCTTATCCAAGTTACAATTTAGGTACTCTTTGTTTTGTTAGCTATCTTTTGGTTGTTTTTTTCACTAAAAATCTTTTTCTTCTAGAGTAAAAATCATAAAGACAAATTTTAGATAGGGTTCTTTGTAACTGGTTACTTAGGTCTACTAATAAAATACATTATTTATTTAAATTGTTGACTTTGCTTGGAACCTGGCTAAGTCTATTTTGCCAAATCAGCAATTTTAAGGACTTGACTAATTTTCATTAGGGAACATGAGGAAAAGGATACAAGAAACTTCACTTAAGTTCTATCTGAAGCCCAAAGCCTGCTTGGATAGAAATGCAACCAACATCTAAAATCATTAAAAATCTAACTCTTTTGAGGTTAAAAGGTCTAATTTACTTTTATATAAAACGATATTACTTTTTTTATATTTTTAATCAATTATGGTTTTGTTTCTCTTGTTTGCTTTTGTTTATAGCAACATCTTAGGAAACAAAAGTTAAAAGTAGTAAAAGTAAGGACTATATGAAGCCTTGGCTATTTAGAGGAGTTAATTCTACTGGATTGTATGAACTTAAATTATGTGACTAAAATCTGTTTGCAGGAAAGATATTTCAAAGGCCCTATGGGTTGATGATTTGGCTATGGCTGAGGTTGTAGAAAAGAAGGGTAAGATGTGGGTGACTATGGGGATAGTTCGTAGTGGCAACACATATTGCTTCATTGAGGAAACTTTGTAGGTGAAAACCAACTTGACTTAAAATTTTGGTCATTGTAAGCTTATGTTTTTTTTATTGTAGTTTTTAAAATCATTTTTGTAGGTTTTTGATTGAAATAGGGGCATTGCATCTTTTGGATGAAAAGGGTATATGTCTTTCTTTAAAAGAAGTATATGAGAAGCTTTCATGTGAAAAGAGCGGATGCTTTTGGGAGCTCTTTGAGGTTTATAGGCACCTGAAGTCTCTTGGTTATGTTGTTGGGCGCCATGGTATCCCTTGGTCTGTGAAGGGTCAAAAGGTTAAAGCCGGAATTCAGGGCAATCAAGAGAGAAATGAGTTGCTGGAAATGGAGTCGAAAGGCAAAAATTCCATTATGGAGTTGTTCAATAATATGCAGATTATTGAAGTGAGTCCTGCTTTTGATGTTTTTCTTCCAAACAGCAAGTTTAGAAAGTCTTCTCCTGGTGATCCAAGTTTTGTTCTCTACTTAAGTAGGTAAGATTATATTGCTAATCCCAAGAGTTTGAGAACTCTTCTACACTCATGAATATGGTGATTGACTGCAAATATTTCATTCACATTATTGAATATATGTTTTTGTGTTGGATTCTTTTTTTTTCCATATAAAATATTTTGTCCTAGAAGTTGGATGGCTAAAGGTGCAAGTGTATTTGAGAAGGATGTAATGTTACTTACACATCAAGTTGACATTATAAGAGGAAGAACTGTTCATGAAATGACTGTTAAAAATTTCTAAGGCTTCTCTTAGCTATTTGCATTAATTGGAAAACTTGTTGCATTTTTCGAGGCACTTGAGGCTGAAGTGTGGTGGCCTTATTGCAAAATTGTCATGGTAAAAACAAGCAATTTAAAATCTGGATTTATTAAAAGTAAAAGTGTACTTTGTGAGCTTTTCTTAATTTCTTCTGTTCTTGAGTTGCTCAGAATTTACTTTTGTCTTTTTGCACGAGACTCTATTAACTTTATCTAAAAGAGAACTGAATACAAAACCACACCTCTTCATTTATGAAGCTAATATTGTTCTTTGCATTTTTTTTTTTCAAAAACTGGTTCTTTGTTGGCAGCTAAATTATAAATTGCTTTTGTTGAGTATGGTTCTTTCTAAAAGCTGCTGAAAAGGAAGTAGTTCATATGGAGCCTTTCTTCGTCTTTTAATTGTCATATTCTTGAAAACATCTTTCCTGACTCTCTGATGTTTCTTCCCTTGTCTTCTATTTTCGAACATAATTGCTGTTCAACACTTAAATACACTGTTATTTTGGTCTCTCACCATGGTTTAACTATGTTTTGCGTTGGCCGTCATCCTATAACAACCTTCCTTGCTTTTCTAGGCTTGAGACCGACTGACCTCGGAGTTGTTAGATATAAGACTTAGTTTGTTGTTGTTATTGTTGTTGCTTAAATGCACTGTTATGAGTTTAACCATCCTTGGAGCTGTAGTTACTTTTTTTTTACTCTATAGTGCAGTTGTCTCTTACTTAAGTTTGGCTTCAAATAATTATTGTATTGTCACTTGCATTATTCCTTCATTAGTCCTTTATAGGAGAGAATGTGAGGATAACACTGCAGCTCTAACTAAGATCTCTACCCAAACCTTCATTCCAATCAGTTCCTGAGCTAGGCAGATGGCTTTTTCCAATTTATTCCATTGCACCAGATTCAATAATCATGGGGAGATTTGAGGAACTTTCTGATTTGGTTGGTTCTTGCTTTTCTGGGAAAATGCGCTGTGTTCATTTATTTACTTGCTTGGATTGATTTGTGGACTGCCTTGCATTCAGGAAAATCAATGAACATTTATTGCCATATGGAGAAGCATATATATATATATATATATATTTGTAAAATGTTCATTTTCCATTGACAAAAAAAGCCATAGCCTAGAGCTTGGAGATCTTTTTGCTCATGATGCTTGTTATTGTGATTGTGATTTAATGTTAGCATTAGCAGTTTGCATAACTTGTGATGGAAATGAGACTGATATTTACAACCATTTTCGTAAGATTGCTCTCCTAGAAGTTTAAAAAGAGAAGCTTTGTGTACATATAGCTTGTTTCCAAGAAATTTTGAACATGGTTTTCTAATTTACTGTCTATCTGATTGTATGTCATTTTTTTTTTTTTTAATTTTGCTGGACTTGTCTTCTCTTGCAGGGGCAGTCCACCATCCAGGGTAGAAATTGAGACTCTTGAGAGAAAGCATGGTGCCATCCCTTTGAAGTTTTGTCAAGTAGAGAATGGGCGTATCAGTTTCTTCTCCTTTGGTAAGGTGGAGCTTGCTGTCCTACCTTAAAAACTTTTTGTTGTCTTACAGAACTGTTGGCTTAGATGATTCAACAAAGAACTTAGAAGATATTTTATCTTTAGCTCAAACAATTCATGGAGTTGCCAGTCCTTGAGTGTGAAGCAGCTGCTTGAAATGTTCTTGTGCTGGAAATGGCACCATGACCACTGCCACTGAGTTTTCTTGGTTTGGCATTTTAGGGAAGAAACCCAGGGAAATCCTTTCTCCTTTTGCAATATTCTTTGTGGAATATGGATAAAAAATAAGCAAGCAAGTATTGGGATGTTTTGGGATGAAATACTATATGTGTATCATTGTCCATACATATTCATATATCATAAGAAGATTTAATTATAATTAACTTGTGTCTATTAGAATAATTATGCTAATTAATGATTTCTTTATTTATGATTCAATGGATATGTGCCAATCATCAAATTCAATATCACTTGTGGAATTTAAACACTCCATCCTAATGGGCCTTTATTATGTAAGTACTTAAATATACCAAAGTTAATTGATGCAAAATTTATTTTTATCATCACTTGAGAATAGTTGATGATTAAATTAACCATGATTAACATAATTAAATATCTTTTGTTTTAACATGATACTGGAATAATTAAAACAATGAAATAACTTATATATTTTTATCGTATATTATCCCCATGTGGTGGCTTTATTGAATGTTTTGTACATAAAGATTTTTAAGGTACGGTGTGGAGGTAACTTTTCTTTCATTTGCAAATTGTAAGATTTTTCTACTGTTCTATATTCCTTTGGTAAAAAGTAAAAACCACATGTGACAAACCTTTTTTTTCCCTTGCTAATCTCCTATATCCGTTCTCATTGGTGCTCTTTGTTCGTTTGTCAAAGTGTCGCTGATCTTGGTACTTTTTCTTTTCTTCCTTCGTTAATCTTGGCTTTGTTTATTTTTTATCGATCTATACTTAAATAATAATTCAAATTGGTTTGTCATTCTTCATTGTGGATACGAATTGACGAGGACACTAGAATCAGACAAGCTGTAGCAAAATTATTTCAGGAGTGGTAATATATCGCAAAAAATTATCTTTTAATGAAATTATTTAAATATTTATTTGTTAATTATTTTTTTTTATCTTTCATAATTTTTTTCTTCTTAATAAGTTATTGAAAATTTATTTTCAAAAGATTTTTTAATATATCGAAAATTTATTTTCGAAAATTTTTTCACTGTATAAAAATAATATATTTTTGAAAAATATTACAATTATCCAGAATATAATTTCGAAAAGTATTAAAATTATCCGAAAATATATTTTCAAAAATAAATTTTTACTTTAGTTTTTTTATTGCATTAAGTATGAGATAATAGATTTCAATCTCTTAATTAGTATTTGACACTAAAATATCGGATATTTTTTATTACGATCTCCAAATAGGTATCTAATTATTTCTTCACAAAATAAGCTGTTTAAATCTGGTAATAAAAATTTCTAATATTTTGATCGTACTTTTTGTTAAATAATGTTTACAATATTTTTTCAATTCTAATAAACGTGCATATGTGAGGAATCACCAATTAAGAAGAGATATTTGTGTAAATTAGCTACTACCTCATTGAACAATGAGGTAGTTATGCCGCACATTTATTAGAATTGCAAAAACATTACAAATGTTATTGAATAGATAATGCTTAGTGAGTAAAATATTAGAGATCTTTCATATCTTTTTTTTTTCTAAATAAATTATCGAAAATTTATTTCCAAAAATTTTTCAATATACAAGAAATTCATTTTTGAAAGTTTTTTCACTATATAAAAAAATATATTTTCGAAAAATATAACAATTATCCGAAAATATATTTTCAGAAGTAATTTTTTACTTTAGTTTCTTTGTTGCATTAGGTATGAGATGGTAGATTTCAATATCTTGATCAGCATCTGACATGAGAATATCGAATATTTTTTATTGCGATCTTCAAACAAATTTTTAATAATTTCTCTGAAATATGAGTTGATTAAATTCGATAATAAAAATTTCTAATATTTTTATCGCACTATTTATTAAATAATATTTGCAACATTTTTTTTTTTAATTTTAACAGAAATGCATATAAGATAAACCACTAATTATGAAGAGGTACTTGTGTAAGTTGGCTACTACATCATATTCAATGAGGCAATCAAGCTTCATTGCACATGTGCAGCAATCAACTCACACAAACATCTCTTTACACTTAGCTATTCTCTCATGCACGTTTGTTAGAATTATAAAAATGTTGCAAATGTCAATGAGGCAATCAAGCTTCATTGCACATGTGCAACAATCAACTTATATAACCATCTCTTTACCCTTAGCTATTCCTCTCATGCGCGTTTGTTAGAATTATAAAAATCGTTGCAAATATCATTGAATGGACAATGCTCAGTGACCAAAAAATTAAAAATTTTTATTATCAAATTTATCAGTCTATCGATATATTGTTAAAATCAATATTTCTTACGATGTTAAGTTATTGTGCATCAAAAATTTATTTTCGAAATTTTAAAAAACTTTTAAAAATGAATGTTTAGAAACTATTGAAAAATTATGAAAATACATTTAGAAAATTCTTTAAAATTTTCAAAATTAGATGTTTGAAAATTTTTAAGAGATTTTGAAAATAAATTTTCACAAATTACCAAAAAATTTTAATAATTTTCAAAATTCATTTTTGAAATATTCAAATTATACTGCGTGCAAATACTTAAAATATTAAATTTTAACAAACTAAATATAAAATCAAATGAAAAATAAAAAAAAAACAACTTATCTATGATTTTAAGCTATTAAACGTAAAATGAGTAATTGAAGCTTTATTTGGACCTTATCCTTTAAAAGTTTCATGGTTTTCGGTTGAAATACATAGGATGTAAAGAGATGAGATTTTTGAGTTTTACTAAATTTGTGTTTTAAATTTAAGATGTGTTGAATAAAAAATTAAATATTAATGGTAGTACAATGTAAAGAGTAGTTATGAGGCAAACTCACATCGTGATGCGTTACACTCGGCAGGCTCAACTAGCCTCTGTTTTTATGTTAGTCATTTAAAAAGCAGACATACATGTTACCGATGCCACCTAATTGCCTGTTTCTCCACTCTTTTCATGTCATTCATTCCCATTTATTAACGTGAAACTTTCCATCGACACAGATGATCTTATCCCGAAAAAAAAAAAGAAAAAACTTAAATTAACTTTTTCAGCAAGTGTTAATGATCAGTAAATACCGCAGACCGCTTTTCCCGTATTTCCTCCCTTCCATTCTGTCTCTACTTATAGGGGTGGAGTTATGCAGGAAAAATGAACAGAGAAAAACATCATTCTCGGACCGTTCCACTACATCCAAGGGCCAATTTGAGGGGTTTCTTTCTCTTTTTTTTTTTTAAGGACTGGATAGGTTCCTGATATCTTCTTCCTTGGCATACCAGTTTGGTATTATTTTCGACACATAGGAATAAAGATCCTTGTATGAATTTCTGATTGTCCCTTCTGCAACTCCCGTTGCCACTGAAATATCTGCATCCCACACATTTTCTATCAAAAACCTCTGCATTTTTTAGTGAATGATAGTAGCAGCTCAAAAACATTTAAAGACCGCCGTTTTTCTTTTTTAATGGACAAACACATTCCATAAGCACCATGTTGGCTTCTTCGATATAGAAAATAAACCAGCACAACATCAAGTAGAAAAATAGGCACACTTAATAGAAGTTTATGAAACATCTTATATTTACTTATCAAGTAAGATGGGAAATAATATCAAACCTCTAAGCAGCTTCTTATCATCAGAAAGCTGTGTTATAATATAAATAACTGCAGCAGCAATTGATATAGGGCTTCGCCTGAAAAAGTTATGTAAATTGTTAGCAAATACCTATTCTAACTATAAGTGAACAAATGCATTCATTAAAGAAGATATATAATGATAAATAAGAGAATCAGATGTCTCAATACAGCAATCCTGACTCTCAACTAACGAATTCATTAAGAAATCTGCAAGAGTTAAAAAGGCTCAACTCCTTAAAGATAAAGTTCTACTTTCTTCCTTCTAAAACCTAGGTCAATAACCAAAAGAGGGTGGAAAGGACCAGGGTAAAAAGGAATAGGGAAGGCAGGGGAGGAGGGACATTCAAGAGAGAAGAAGCTCAGAGAAGACCCAGAAAAACACTTCTGGGTTTCCATCATATCTTCGCAAAAGCTGCCTGAATAAACCACTTATAACATTTTAGCAAGTGTTGGGAAAAAAAGACCCCTATCTTTTTTGGAATTATTTTCACTTCCATAGCTTCCAAGCAAAAATAAATATATAAGTCAAAAGAATTCCATAAGCTTAGAATTCACTCATTCCAAAAACACACTTTAACTGGTGTTAAAGAAAGTTCATTTTTATAGCAAAAAAGCAAGAGGTTTACTATTATGTTGAAACAAACTTTTCAAGAGAAAAACAGCAGCAAAGCAAGATGAATGCTGTAATAAGTCATGGAATAATGTCAGGCTGGAGCATCAATTTTTATTTTTTTTCTTTTAGAATCTTCAAACCGTCCAAGACATGCCAAAGCTAAAAAACCAAATTGGCTGCAGGGATCTAACTAATCTGCAAGAACATGGAATACTGGAACTGTCAATGAATATGAAGCATAACTTTTAAACATGAATACCACCAAGATCCTTATTAACATCCATATCCCCAAAAGGTTTTGCTTCTCACTCACCAGCACGTCATAATTCACCTCCATAATATGGTCTTTAAAAATAAGAGCAATTATTCCAAAATCTCAACCATAATTGTCTTTTAGTACTCATCAGCTTTTTTTTCTTTATGCAATTATTCAAACATTCTAATTATTTCGTAATCAAGTCAGTTGAACAACTTAAAATCCCCACTTCCTAAATTAGGAATCTTTATCATGCATTCTGTTAACTGGAGAGGTCCAGACAGAATTATCCAACTCTTAGAGGACATTGAATTAAAATTCATTTGAAAAGGAAAAAGGCTTAAAAAGAAAAATCAGTGTAGGTTCACAGCGTCAAGATGAAAATAGAATAAGAACTACCTTATATCAAACTCCTCGGACTTCTGAACTGCTTCTTGGGCAGCTTTAACTGCTTGATTATTCATACCAAGATTGGAACAAAAACGCCTCTGATAATTAAAGAACTTAATGTCAGTGGCAATCATAAATGGTACGCACGAATGAACAATACAATATTCAACCACGGAAGTGCAGCCTTCCAAGCATATGTCAAACAAGGGAACCCACCATGAAGTCACCAGCATGTATGGTTCCCATCTCCACAGACTGACCCGTCTCCAATCCCAGTTGTTTCACTATGTATTCTTTTGCTCGGCCGATTTCTTTCTTTGTGGCTCCATTGGCGACAGAACAAATTTCTATTTGAAATCCACAGGTTCAGGGAAGCTCATATACAGTAGGAAAGATAAATCATGAAGCATCCAGATATTAAAAGAATCTTAGGCTGTACCCTTCACAGTGCGTGGTTTGTCCTCTTGTCGACAAGCAATGTATAGACAAGCAGCCAACAATGCATCCTGATTTCTTCCTCTACTAGACTTCTGGTCTTCCACCTTCTTATATATCTCATTGGCTCGATCCTTCAATCAATGGCAAAAACCCCATAAATCACATGCAAATGAAAATTAATAAAAGGAACAAATAATGAAGAATGAAAAGATTGTCAAGCTTAAAATTAAAGTGTAAAGCACAAGATTCTCCCTACATGAATAGAAAAACTCTCAAATTTAGCTTAAACAAATGCTTCAAATACAAAATAATTTTCTTTTAGAAGCATAAACATGCTCATAACTAAATGGTGACCATTAGAATACAATCATTGAGAAGTAGATTACTAGGGATAGAGATTCCAAGAAAATTTCAGCGGCCAGATAAAGAAAACAAATTATAACTGAAAATGCAGCTAGTTTTACAAACAAAAAATTAAAAAAAAATAGCATTGCTAAGATTTATTCTTGGCAGAGTTCATTTTTAACAGATTTTTTTCTTTTTTTAAAAGCTTTACAACTAGATGTAGACCACGAAAGATATGGATACAAGTAATGAAAAACGATATGATAGTTAAGGAATTAGATGAAAAGGTGGTTGTTGATAGAAATAAGTGACGCAAGAGGATTCAAACTACAATCTAATTTGATTCTCTTACTTGGTTTTTCATACAGCTGATCCCAGAATATGGGATATAAGGCTTAATGTGTTGTTGTTGCTGTAAAAGCTTTACATACAACAAATTATGAGAGGGAGCTGCAGCAGCTATGGTAATGTTTATATGTATTTCACGCTTTCAACTCATGCACAAGATTGGGGTTTTAAATTTTATAACTCCTTTCTGCTCATGCACAGATTGGGAAGGGGAGCTGCAGAAGTTATGGTAATATTTGTATGTATTTGAGGCTTTCAATTCGTGCAAAAGATTAGAGTTTCATATTTATGCCTTCTTTCTAGCTGGCTCATTTATCACAAATTTGTCAGTATTTACACTAAAGACATTCTATTTCAAACAAGTCATTCTTATAAAGCCTGTCATGCTACACTTTTAACTTTGTTTCAATTTAGAATTGTCACTGACCTGATATAGTCTAGTACATCATAGATCCTTTATTTGGTACACGGTAGCAATGCCAACTTGTATTGATAATACATACACATGAAATACTAAAATAATAGAGTATATCAAGTCTATGGGCATATGTGCATGTCACCAGTCCTTTAGTAATACACTGAAACATGACATATGATTCAAATTATATTTACACTGAAATGGGTACCTTGATGGTTGCGACAAGACCCAACCTGAAACAAAAACTTATCCAAATAAGTGACATTTCATGGTAAATTACTATCTCTTAAGCATAGAGCTTCACTTCATGGAGAAACGGGAGAGGAAGCGAATAATATGCAATCTTTACACCTAAAGAGAACAGAATAGTAATTAAAAGCCAGTATTAATACTGTTCATGAAGTAATCACATAGATTAGAAACATCAATGCTTTTAAGAAATTCAATATTAACATTCAGTTGGATTGCATTAAGCTGGATTCCACAGAGAACAGCACATTCATCGAATTCATACAATTGGATACCAGTTTGATTCTGCCTAAGAAAAATAAAATTCAAAAGCATAACACTTTCCATTCAATTCTAAGTTACCTAGAATCAGCCCTCGAACTTTGATCCATAATTTTCTCCGGTACAAACAAGTAGACATGCAAACAGTAATTGCATCATAAATTGTTTTCACCAACAACTAAAGTATCTCTTTTCCCACCTGGCAGCCCAAATCAGGAAAGAAATCAAAATCCCTAGGTATTTTCCTTTAATTTGTTTCTAAAAACGATGACAATCCCAAACTCACCAAACTCAATTAGCTCAATCAAAGAAAACTCTAATAATTTCACCCAAGATCCATAACCCTAGCATCCATTTTTTCCATTATCTTCCCACAATTTGTGATCATCCAAACAACCTCCAAAATTCCAACCAAAAATTAATTGTGAAAAACCTAACGAAAAAAATTAAATACCTATCAGACATGGTAGCAATTGTCTTAAAAGCGAGAATCAACCCCCGATCCGGATTCGAGCCACGATTCTGCCACCGACCCAACGAGGACGAAAGAAACTCTCCAGAAGCACCGTTAGGCTTAGCGATAACGGTAGATAAACCGCCATCCGCCAAAAGCGGGTTGCTGGGACCACCGACACGGACTGGATCGTTATCGCCGGACTCGTTGGCGAAGGTTCTCCACTCGGATGTCTCATCGATCGAATGCGACTCTAACACCAAACCACACTCCGAACACACCGTGTCACCCGCCGAGTGGTCGAAAACTACCTCCGTGTGCCGCTTGCAGTCCGAACAAAACGCGTCCGCCATTTCCGGAGCAGCTAACCGTTTCTGTTTTGTTCTCTCTTTTTTTTTTTTTTTTCGTTTTGATCCTAAATTCTGTTTTACAAATCGATTCAAAGATGTAAATAGAAAGGCTTGTTAGGTTAAAGTCTCCTTTTTAATATTTTGATTTATTGGTTTGTTTCTTTTTCTTTCTCTTTAGGACAATGTGTTTTTTGAGCCGAAATAATAAGCAGAAAGTTAAACGGAGAATCTATTTATAGTAGGTGAAGTGAAAATGATATGATACACCCGAGTTCAGGGGATCTATCATGAAATTTTGTTGTGTTCTATTTTTTCAGAAAGGAAAGTGAACGGGAAGGATTTAGTTGTGGATTATACTTTAAATCGCACGATGAATTTGAACCGTTGGATTTGCAGTATCAGCCAGAAGATGCTTGTTTGGACAGGTGAGATTAATAGCGCTTTTTAGCATTAGTAGGGAGGCGTGAGTCCGTGGGGACAGGGGTAGCGAGCTGGTAGGAAAGTCATGAATAGTTGGAAACAAACATCTTTTCTGTTTGGAGACAGGAGGAGGATTGTTTTCGGATGGGATAGAAGTATCTTTTACTATGTTTGTGGAGAGAAGAGGGGGAAATTCCGCTAGAAGCTCCTTGCGTTTACCTTAAGCTTTCTTATGGGCCGTGGTTTTCAACAAGGTTTCTTATCAAACCACTCACTTTTTTGTATAAAAAAAGTAGCAATATGTTACATTTAAATTTATTGAATTATAACTTTTTTTAATATTAATAATGTAAAAGAAATTATAAAATTGTTGTTACTCAAATTTTTTATTATCAAATTATCTAAAAGTAGAATTGGATATGATGGCGTGTGATGTGAGGCTGTCAGGTTTGTGGAAGATTTATATAAGACACAGCATGTTAATTGTGCCCAGAATTTGGACAGGGAAAATGATTTTTTGTTGGAAAAAAAAAAAAAAGATGTAAATGAGTGGTCTTCTTTTGTTTTGGCCGAAGGGTTTATTTTCTTACCGACCAACGAGAGCCGCCTTAGTGTTGAGGACATAACTTTACCTAAACAATGTATCAACCTAAATCATTGTTTACTTTGCCACCAAAAAAAAAAAAAAAAAACCAAAACCTACCCATTTAATTCTTTCTTTTCTTTTTAACCATGGTACAATCACGCTTGCTCTCACCCCTTACACGAATGTCTCCGTATAGAATGTGTGTTACTTTGGGCCATCCGTAACGAAGTCCGGGCTGATAGCATAACCATGGGAGAAGGCGAGAAGCTTTCTCTTTATTTCAACGGCAATATCAAATAGAATAACATGCTGAAATTAACACCATACCCCAAAAGAAAATCATGAGCCTGAATTGAAAGGTAAGGCCTACATTGCATATCTGAATATTTTTATCCTTAAAACCAAAATTAAACATTTATAAGAGAAGAAAGTACATTGACAACATACTAATAATTATATCATATTTAACCTAATGGGAGATATACCAGCGACACATAGGAAAATTATACTAGAAATCTGAGGGAGCATGCAAAGTTGGCTGGAATAACACAAACAACGACTGCACATGAAACCCCTCATTACAGTGCCTCTTCACTGCCTTGATCTTGACTCGGCCCGTCGAGCTTCATCCGGTGTTGAAGGAAACAGTTCCACATACCGGGCCCCTATTGTCATCTTGTCCTTGCACATCGCTCTTTTTGCCTCCTCCACAGAAGTAAACTCCACATATGCCTCTCCAGTAGCTTTCCCATCAGGGCGGCATGCAATGTGTATCCTATCTTCCACGATCTTGAAGTCTCCAAAGAATTCAACAATTTCAGGTTTCTTCACCGAGAAGGGAAGACCACGCATCTTCAGTATCTCAGTGTATTCCATTTGGTCCTTATCGTTGTACCTCTTTCCTCGAGATGGTGGAGGACTTCCGTGGAAATCATTATCATAAATTCCTTCATAATTTACCTCTGCAGCCACAGCATGATAATAATCTTGCCTCTTGCACCTGAATACTTCCACATAGCGACGTCCCATGTTTTGACGATCTCTTTGCAAAGCAAACTCAACCTGCATGGACCCTGCAAAGAGAACAAAGGCCTCTCCAGAGAACCTTCCACTCTTGTTGACCAGCAAAACATCCACAATGTCCAGTCCAGCAAAGAATTTGAAAATGTCGATATCAGTGCAGTTGAAAGGGAGACCCCTGAGACGTACCACAGGAAAGGAAGGGGGCTGGAAGCCACCACCATAACCGTAAGGTTGATAGCTGCTCATACCGCTGCTCACTGCGAAGTAGGGATTTGATTCCATCATTCTTTGTCTCTTTGTGCCGACCTCGTACCCATCCGAAACCCCCCCGCTTCCCAACATTGCCCTTCAATTATCCATACCCAGAAAGCAAAACAAATCCCCCACTAAACCTGTTAATAAAACCAAACCCAACCCACAATTTTCCAACACCTAATTTCTTAAATTCCTACATTAATAAATTATTTTTGCAAACAGACTGGTTTATAAAGAGCAGAATTCCATTTTACATTTTACCCAAACAATCTCATTACCAGCACAAAGATTAAGAATCACACACGCACTAAATCAGATATGCCATAACTAATCTAAGTTTCCATACTTTTATCTTTCATTTTCATAAAATAAAAGCAAATTCATCAGACCAAAAGGCACCCAACAGAAACGTTACTTTTGAATAGTTCTCAGTGTAAAACAAACTGAATAAAAAAAAGTTGGAATCTGAGGCATTTTATATAGAAAATGAAGAAATTTGGTCCAAAATTAAATTTGGGGTATATTTTCCATTTATTATATCCAATTAATTTTTAATTGTTTTGTCAAGACCGATACAAAATCAGAGCAGAAACCCTAATTCCATTTAAGAACACCAAAATAAAAGTTAAAATCAGGGTTTTAACGAACTTACCCTCTGGATCCGTACATGGCGTCGTTAGTGTTTGAGATCTTTGATTGTTTGATGAAATTGCAGAAATCTGGAGGAGGGAGGCAGATCCCTTGAAAGCTGCTTCTCGAAAAAAAAAAAAAAAAACCTAGCAATAGGCAGAGGCAAGAAGAAATTTGAAATAAACACCGAACACAGCCCTTTCGCTCTCTCTCGGCGCTACTGCTCTTTGTTTAGCCACATCCTTCGATCCAAAGTCAAAGTCCACCATTTATGTACTTGGACTTCATTATGGGCCTGGGTTCAATCCAAATACAACGCTTCGTTTTGCACTCTTGCTTTACGCGGATAACTCTACTTTATAGGTTTATATTCTCTTCGAATTTTTTTTAATAAAATTAAAGTTTTATAATTTTTAATATTAAAAAATTAAAAAATTATAAAAAATAATTTTAAAATATAAAATATAATAAGTTTTATATGTTAAAAAAAAGAGAATATAATTTTAAGACATCTAAAAAATAAAAAATAAAAAAGATAAAATTTTTTTGTTTTTTTTAAATTGACCACCGTTTTTTCAAACTTTTTTTTTTTTTTAATCTTGCCATTTACTCGTATGGTTGATTCCAAGTTGTTAAACTTCTTATTAGTATAAGCATTTTGAGTGTGAGGATATATTAGCTAGTATGAATTCGATAAATTTGTGAAAATTTCTATTAAAATCTTTAAATACAAATTAAAACATAAGCTCAATAACTACAAATTCATATTTCATTATGGGCAAGTGTATAACATAAAATTCTTTCTCTCTTTTTTTTTTTGAAAGGTTCTTAAATATTAATTATTAAATATGAGACATAAAGGCTAATACTTATCAAAAGCAGATGTGCTCTCTCTTTTTTTTTTTTTTCAAATAAAGTTTGATTTTTGTAAAAAACATTTAAATACATTAAATCGATAAAAATAAATATATTTTTAAAATTATTTTGAAAAAGGAATTAGATCAAATAAAATTAAAAAACATTTGTATTTTATAAAAATAAATAAAAATCATATAATTTATTCATAAAATATCAAACTTTTAATTTTAATAATTAAAATTTAATTTTTGACAATCTTATAAAAAGTTAATAAGTATTTTGCAAAGTTTAACTTTTTTTAATGTAATACTCCTCGAGACTTATGTACCAAAAAAATATTGCTTGGGGTTTAGATAATTCATTTTCCTAGTTATCTTTTTTTATTATTTTTTTATCTCGATTCAACTGTACATCACACATTTATTTTATTTTATATTATGTTCCTTGATAATCTCGTCTTTAGACAATAAAATTAGGACTAAAATCATATTTAATGAGATATTTTATTAAACAATAATTTATTAAATGCATATAAAAATAATAAAATTGCTGGCTTTTGTTAAACAAAGTTTGGCAAATGTGACAGATCACAACAGCTTTGGAAGGCGCGTGAATTTGCAGGCAAACAGTGTTTTTTGAACGTTGAATGTTGAAACCCCCGGAAAACAAAGAACAAAGAGAACCATCAAGTCTTATTTGACTGCCCAAACCCAAAAAAACGAAATGAAGCCTTCCTCTTCAAACAACGCGTCTGCTTTGAGAGCTTTTATTTGTTTGTTTTTTTCCTCGTTATCAAAGAAAAGAAGAGGAAAAACCCCAGAAACTCATCTATTTCTTCTCCTACTTAGCTAGGCTGCTGCCTGCTTTGCAGCATAGAAAGCAAGCTCTCTCTCTCTCTTTTTGTTGTTGGGTTGATTAGTGTAAACTACAATGTTAAGCCTGGCACATAGAGCTGATCAAACAGGTCCATAGAAAGCAAGCTTCTTTTTTATTATTATTTTAAAAAATTGGGTTTTGAACATAAGAAATGGTGCACTATCAGCGTTATAATCAGTTCAAAAAGGGTGGAGATGAAGAGACAGGGACTCTTGTTTTTGTTTCATCAAACCCTGGTTACTACATAAGAAGAAGGCTTAAACTTTTCTCTATCCTCTTGCTTTCTCTTCTCTCTTGTAGCTTCGTATTGGCTCCTCACTTCTTTAGCTCTTCTTCTGCTTTATCTTATCTCTGTAAGCTCTTCTCTTTCCTGTGTTTGGCTTTGTTTCTCTGTTTCAGCTTTTTGACTTCTCTTATGTGGTTTTTGCAGATTCATTTGGTGTACTAAATGAAGGCCATACTGGTGACATGGATGTAAATACTCCTCTTTGTTCTTCAATCTCTAATGGTTTGTAGAAATTGGTTGCCTTTAATTGAATTCCTTTTTTTTTTTTTTTGTAATCTTTTGAATATTAAAGCCTTGCTTGACATACAAGATTAAACTATAGGAGTATATGTTATTAATTGATTCATTTTTTCAAAGGAATCATATTGATTTTTCACTGTCCCCGACTGTTTATTTGAATCTTATGGTTGTTCTTGTGCTATATACAGGTACAATTTGCTGTGACAGAAGCCATTTTCGTTCTGATGTTTGTTTTATGAAGGGTGACGTAAGAACACTCTCTCCCTCCTCTTCAGTATTCCTTTATTCATCAAACAATAGCTATGGTGTCATTAATTATGTTTCGAGTATGGTTGATGATGGAGAAGAAGAGGAAGATGATCAACTACAACATGAAACGATCAAACCTTATACCCGGAAATGGGAAACGAGTGTAATGAACACCATTGATGAATTGGACCTTATCTCAAAGAGACGACATTTGGGCGTTCACCATCCTTGCGATGTGATTCATAACGTTCCAGCAATTGTCTTCTCAACTGGAGGCTATACCGGCAATGTTTATCACGAGTTTAATGATGGGATTATACCTTTGTACATCACTTCGCAGCATTTTAACAAGAAGGTTGTGTTTGTGATTCTTGAATATCATAATTGGTGGCTTATGAAGTATGGTGACATCCTTTCACATCTTTCAGATTATCCAATGATAGACTTTAGTGGAGACAATCGAACACATTGCTTCACTGAGGCAATTGTTGGTCTGAGGATCCATGATGAGCTCACTGTGGACTCTTCATTGATGAAAAACAATAAGAGTATTGTGGATTTTCGAAACCTTCTTGACAGAGCTTACTGGCCTAGAATTAGAGGTTTGATTCAGGATGAGGAACGAGAAGCACAAGAGAAGAAAATCTCTTTCCGCCCAACATCAGGGTCTGCATTAGATATTGGAACAAAGGTGCAATATCAAGCATGGAGACCAAAGTTGGTTATCTTGTCTCGAAACGGTTCTAGAGCTATAACTAATGAGAACATTTTGGTGAAAGTAGCAGGGGAAATTGGGTTTCAGGTTCATGTTCTGAGGCCTGAACGAACAACAGAATTAGCAAAGATTTATAGGGCACTTAATTCAAGTGATGTCATGATTGGTGTCCATGGTGCTGCCATGACTCATTTTCTATTCATGAAACCTGGCTCTGTTTTTATTCAAGTTATTCCCCTAGGAACAGACTGGGCAGCTGAGACATACTATGGAGAGCCTGCAAGGAAGCTTGGTTTGAAGTATATTGGCTACAAAATCACGCCTAGAGAGAGCTCATTGTTTGATGAATATGATAAAGATGATCCTGCTCTGAGAAATCCTTCAAGTTTAACTAGCAAGGGATGGGAATACACTAAGAAGATCTATCTTGAGGGTCAAACCGTAAAACTAAACCTGAGAAGATTTCAGAAGCGGCTGGTTCGTGCTTATGACTATATCACTAGAATCCACCTTCAATCACGTCTCCAGTCACAGTAATTTTCATTATTCTTTATACTTGATTGTTGAGGATTGGCAAGCACAGCATGATAATGTGTAAACTTTCGTTTGTAGAGGTTTATCTTCTTCGACTTGTCTGTTTTGTATGGTAGGAAAACCATACAAAATAAACTTCATTTTGGTAAAAGCTAATTGAACATAAATGAGTAGCCAATCTCTCTTTCATTTTCTGTAAAACTTTTGTACTTCATATTCTTAAGCTAATGAAATATTGAAATTTATTCATTGTTATAAATTGAAAAGACTGATACTTGTATATATTTCATGCATTGAATAATGGATTACTCTCTTTTTTCTTCTGCAAGTTCTTATTCACTCACTATCGGTTTAATGGGGAAAAAAGCAGTTGACTTATGGTGCCGCCAATTGGCATTGCAAATTATGCTTTTCTGATTTTTAGGTCAGGAAGGTAGCATTTGTGGCACTTGGTATGTTTACGACCCTAAATTTCTTTAACTACTGCATGTGGTTTGCATTTCCTATATTTGGCTCTTCTGCAATCCTGGTTTTGAGGCACATGGTTTACATCGGTTTGGTCTAAGACCTGAAACATGGAGTTTTTGGCTAGAGGAGATTTATCTTTCTCTGTTACTATTTTTGTCATCTAAAGATTTTCTCCTCAACTTTAAATAAGGAGACTCAGCCAAATTTATTGTCTAGGTTTGCTCTCTCACCAGCTTGTTTCAAGTTGTGGATGCCCAATTCTTTTATCTGTTTAGTTTTTGGATCTCTTGGGAAACTCAAGTGGCCCTACTATAACGATCTTTGTCAAGAGAGTGTCATTTTCCAGCAAACAAAAGTTCCGGGAATGATGGGAGGCAAAGGTAAAGTCTAAATTTCCAATTTCGAAAATAAAAGTGATTACTTTAAAAAAATTACCTAAAATATCTTAGGTCGGTAAAAATGCTGCTAAGCAAAGAGAAATATGGACTGTCACAGAAAATTTATGTGATTTATTTTGTGCCTCCTAATGTTACCTCAAAGAAAATTGACATCTTCGAATGGGCCCAAAATTTATGCGAGAAATAGATGAATCGAAAAGTGAGTATATGAAGTATAGATTGCCTCATCCGGCAAACAACTGGGGTTTGCAATAGTGGTCAGCTGTGAATCAGTTGACATTCTATGATCAGCCAACCTCAACTGACATTCAACATGAACTAGAGGTTAGCCCACTCTGATAGCCAATTTGCTCTGGCTATTCCTGAGGCGCTCTAAAAATGTCAGCAAGTCGGTATGCTTTAAGTCAAAGCATCACTGGAGCCTTTCATTCCAGTATTAGAAGATCACAACAACTGCTTTGTTGTCTTTGTTGATGCGTCATGGTGTCTTGGCATTCTCGTTATTGCTCATAGTTGTACCTACATAAAAAAATAGGTAAAGACATAGACACATAATATACGAGCCGAAAGAAATATGGTAATTAAAAATAGAGTACACAAAATCAGGCAAGAATAATGCTATTGCACTTGGTTACTTGCTTGAGCCGATTGGCTTTCCCTCCAAAAGAAGATCTGCGAGACCTGCCTGACCCTGATGTTTGTACACTGGTAAGTGATTGCCTACGCACTGCTCTTGCATTTGCAGTGACTGGTGACTTCAAATCATTGGCATTGCCCCTCTCCCCTGATAGGTGACCTTAGTTCCAGTGAGTTCTGTAGGTTCCTGTAATTTTATGCAGATATCTTCAGATTGGAGCATCTTGTTAGATGATAATTTAGTAGCATCATCAAATCATGCTCTGTTAAATTAAGGTTTCACACCTTGACATAATTGCCATACAATGTTAGACACTTCAAAAAGGATCGCTTAAAAAAACGCTAGTTCTAATACGCCAGCATTCCTAATTATGATCTATGTTCAATGTCTCTGGTTCCAGCTATATGAGCCAGCAACTATAGTCATTAATTTAACTAATAGCTAATAAGAACTGAGTTTCACCAACCTCTTCTCATGGCCACTAATCAGTTTCCCGATGGTTGTTAGCAGGGTTTTCCTTATTTGGGATCCTTCACCATTGGCTGTTCGGAGTTCAATTGAAAGTACACTTGCATGGCGTTCTGGACGTCATTTCTAGCAAGTACTTGTGGTTAAGGTGTATTTGGTAGCTGAAGTCTAGGAATTTCTGTTCGACAATCTGTCTTCAGTAGCTTGCTTTTGAAAGGAAGAACTAGTAGGACTTCGAGGAGCTTTAGGATGACAAATCTCCATCATAGAGCTGCCATTGCCGAGATTCCCAAACTGTTTTATAACTGCTTCTGCATCTTGGAACTGACTATATTCAGTACGGACAAAAGGCTGGCACGGAAACACTTACTACTAACTTCTTCAGGCACTTTTATCTGACTGTTGTCCTTATCATGTCTTGGACCTTCCAAGCTCAACCTCCTTGCACGAGTTGAAACTGATGGAGTTTTTGATCCTCTCCTGTCTTCAAGGTTCTCAGACTTCGTTGTGCTACCATTCACAATGCTCAATCTTTGAGAACGTGGGGAAGTGTTCTCCACTTTTGCCTTTTGTTTCTCAAACGGAGATTTTGGTTCCTTCATTTTGTAGGACAGTGTACTCTATGTTTCCTTGTTTGTCAATGCCTTCTTGAGGTTTTCAATCTACAAAATTTGTTCACTAGTTACAAAAAGTTGTTCCTAAAAAAAAAAAACGGCAAAGGAATAAAGGCTCAACTCATTGACAAGCTGTGTGCAGAACAAAAAGAAATGAGGGATAACAGCGATTTCTCATTCTTAAGATTTTCACTGGTGATTCCTCTGTTCATAAACACTCAATCAGAACTATTTCCTAGCAAAGAGATGCCTTTTTTATGATTTGTTAAGCAATGAGAGGCCTACTCAAAGAGCTTAAGATTCAAAATTTTTGTATGATTACGGAGGAAACTGGAAAGTTTTGTTGAATTACAGGACAACTTCAAAATATAAAAGAATCCTCGAGGAGCGTAAGATTAAAAATTTTTAATCTAACAATGTAGTCAAGAAACCTCGATGATCAACCTAACATCTTAGTCATTTAAACTGCACATATTTTTCATGAAGGCTATCCGCGTAGCAGGCTTGTGTAACTGAAACCAAAATGTCCAGCCATGAACTGCTAGAGTAAATGATGCAATTAATTATTTACCTGCTCTTTGAGTTGCATAACCTCACTGCTCTCTTTATTCAAACGAGCAGCACCAAGTTCCACCGTTGAAACTCTCTGAGCAAACTTCAAAATACTAATTGTTTCTCCAAAACAGTCTCCTTCTGGACTCACTTGAGCAAACTTCGGTGTCTTAGCATTCCATCTAGACATTTCCATAAAAAAGAAAAATTAGTACAAAGCCAATACAATCTGTTTGCAGAAAACAAATAACTTTCACTCTGGAAGGAAGCCACTCCAGTTTGTTACATCTTCAATTACATTAAGCAAGAAAGGAAATATTCAACATGCTTCCTACTTTTGGGTACACATTTAAAATAAGCATTAATAGTCTTAAGGTCCAACTTCATTTCTTATGGGTTATAAACCCTAATTTAGCTGGATAACCCCAAACATATATGTCTCAAACTTGATTAACTCAAATGATGTTTTAGGAACCGCCTTGGTTGTAACCCTATTCAATATATGCTGCAGTTTTAAAGGTCTCCCTCCACGGTGATCTCAAAAGTTTGAAGTTGCTAAGCATGCTCTTGATCATGTCCACTAAAGTTCAATTCCTTTTTTCTATAACACCATTTTGAGATGGTGTGCCAAAATTAGTGTACTCAGTTACATTACCTTGCTCTTAAAAAAAACTTTGCAAATGGACCTTATTAAAATATGTTGTCAATAGTTATATATTTAGTTATGTATAAATATGTTAGTACTCTTTCATGATATAAATATACATGCCATAACCCTAAATAGAATAGGGCAAAACATTTGTTCTTTATAGATTCGTTTCATGGTATCAGAGCGGTGGCCTTCCCTCTTTGCTCATCTTCAATTCTGATCCAAATATTTGTCTTCTTCTTAGATCTAAAAACAATTACTTTCTATTATTCTACTCCAATAACTTTCTTTATAATATATTATTTCTTAAAACTTCTAATGGCTTCCAATAACCAATCCTCTTTCTTACCATCTTTTTATTTCCCTAATATTTCCAGCCTTATCTCTATTAGGTTAAACTCAAACAATTAATTGCTTTGGCATGATTAGATAAAACTTTTTTTATTATATAGTGATTTAATAGGACATGTCGATGACACCATTGCACTTTCTCTTAAAATAATAATAAAAAATAATAAAACCGCATCCAATCCTGCATATACATAATGGGTGAAGAAGGATCAATTTGTTATCTCCTGTCTGAGGTAACATTGTCCCCAAATGCACAAGCACAAGTCTTAGGTTTATCATTTTCTCACTAGGTTTGGATAACTTTAGAAATTGTTTTTCATCAACAATTTCAAACAAAATTAGATTTGTTGCATGATAAGTTGCACAGTTTGAGTAAAAGAACTATGTCTATTAAAGAATATCTTGTCAAGATTAAATCTATTTTTAATAATTTAATAGTGATAAATCATCATATCTCTGATTCATAATGGTTGCTCATACTTTGAATGGACTACCAAATATCATTGAATATCAATAAGTTATCTTTGTTATTAAAAATAGAGAGAATCTCATTTCCTTTAATGATTTGAAAGCGCAATTATTTGTTCATAAGCAGTGCTTGAAAAGAATGCAAGTATTATCATCATAACCTATGAATGCCGTTGATAGTTCCCATGAGATAGCCATGGTAACTCACTTAAATAGTCGAGGTTAGCACCTCAATAATCCTTGTTGTGATTTTAGGTGCATTGAATAGATTAATCAAATAAATGATTATCATGATTTTTAGTCTTTTCCTTGCATAAATCATATTTCTCAACTAGACTTTCAATCAAATAATTGAGATAATACAAAATTTTCACGTTCTCAACATGCAAACTGTGCCATAAAGTGTTAGCTTTGTCACCTATTCAACCATACTGCTGTAACATGTCAATACCGCTTACAATAAATCTGATTATAATCTAAACAGTTCTTTTGTTGGTTTTCATCTTTCTACTACTACTTCAAATGATACTCAATTTAATGCTCCAATAGACAATGACAATGATGCCTACTGATTGACAAATTCAGATGCTACTAGTCACATGACTTCCAAGCTATCATTGGTACATCAGTCCATTCCTTTTGCTAGCAATAAAGGTGTTTTTATTAATGATGGTAATTCTCTAAACATCACTCATATTGGTGATTTTGCTATAAGTCTTGGTT